CTGGGGCCCGAATGTTGTGTGCCGTCCTGGGAGCAGCTGGGAGCACATGCAGGTGGGCTGTGCTGTGAAAGCCAGGGTTTCCCTCCCGCCCCCAGCCAGGCCAAGGTGCCTGTACTCGTGGACAGTGTCTCCAGCCTGGAGCTCTTGTCTCGTGCCGTCCTCAGCAGGCAGTGAGCCCATGGCTGACTATTCCTGCTACATGTCTCGCGAGGTGTCCCCAGGTTGTGCCTGTATTCACTCGGCAGCCACGGATGTCCTTCCCCGTGCCCCAGCGCCCACCCTCCCTCCCCTTGCACCCGCCTCCTTCCCGGGGTCCAGCCACTTCCCTGTCACAGGCCTTCTGCTCCCCACCCTGCGAGGAAGGCGCCTCACGCATGCTGGACGTAGACCTCATTTCCTCCATAGCCACGGCACCCTCTGACCCCGTGGCTCCTGGGACGGGCTCCCTTGAGGGCAGGGGTGGGCACGGAGGCCTCCCTCCTTATCCAGGGACTTTTTCCGGGGGTCCTGTTTGCCCTGACTCACCTGCCCCCAGAAGTCCCCTCTTTCCCAGATGGGCTGAACAAGCCCCCCACTTCCTTTCCCGCAGTGCCGAGAAGGAGTGGGGCGACGGCATCCGCGGCCTGTCCCTGAACGCTGCCCGCTATGCCCTGCTGCGTGTGGAGCACGGGCCTCCTCACACCAAGAACTGGAGGTGAGCGCTGCCCATGCCCCGTGTTCCTCACATGCACGGAAGAGCCGTTTCTGAGGTTGGCCTTTGAGTGGGGACCTTGGAGTCTCAGGGGCCTCTTACCTTCAGCCGCTTGGGCACGGTCTGGGGTGTGAACACTGCCTGGTGCAGAGCGAATTGCACAGCTGGGGGCCTTGGAGCACCGGGGGTGTCCCTGCTGCAGGGCGGGGGTGTGGGGAGCCGGCCCCTCTGCCGGCACAGCCCTGGGCTGGGGTGGGAGAGGGTGGCTCCTGCTGAAGCAAAGGCCATCTGTAGGAAGCCTCTGCCCCTCAGGGTCTCAGCGGGGGCCTCAGGCCTGTGCCCTGGGCCAGTGTCCCCCTCAGGGTCTTGGCAGGGGCATCCGGCATGTGTCCTGGGCCATTGTCTCACCTGTCCAGCATGTCACCTGTCCCACCTGTCTCACCTGCCTGTTCACCTGTCCTGCCTGGCTAGTGCCCACCTGTCCATCGGCCCTGCCTGTCCCACCTGGCTTGTGTGGCCTGTCTCACCTGTCACTTGTTCAACTTACCCCCACCTGTGTCATGTGTCTCCCCATCCCGTGTCACCTGCCCCTTTTGTCACCTGTCCCGCCTGTCATATGTCCCCCGTCCCACCTGTGTCACGTGCCCCAGCCGTCCCGCCTGCCCTGTTGATGGGCTGTGTGCGGGTGTGCGGGTGAGTGTTGCCGTGGTAACAGCCGCCCCACCCCCGCTGCAGGCCCCAGGTGCTGGTGATGCTGAACCTGGACGCAGAGCAGGCTGTGAAGCACCCCCGCCTGCTGTCCTTCACGTCGCAGCTGAAGGCCGGCAAGGGCCTGACCATCGTGGGCTCGGTGCTGGAAGGGACGTACCTGGACAAGCACATGGAGGCACAGCGGGCCGAGGAGGTGGGCAGGGCAGGGTCTGGGGGCCGGGCCCCTTTCCCACCTGGGCTGCACAGGAAATGCGCCCTGGTATGTCCTCATCGTGATGTGTCAACACGGTGCCGTGCATGGCGCTGCTGTGTTTCAGCCATGGCGGTGGCTTTGAGCTCGGAGCAGTGTGCTGAGGCCTGGGAGTGCCAGCCACACCCCGGGACGCTTGGGAGGTGCTGAGGGCCGTTAGCTTTCTAAGGGCAAACCCTGGGACCGCCTCCTCCCGCCGTGGGTGAGTCCTGTCCAGAGGCGCAGTCACGGTTCTGCTGCAAGTTCAGTCCCCTCTGCTGTTCGAGCTCACTGGGGGCCGCGTAAGCGTGATGCCCGTGTGCGGCCGAACTTCTGCCCACTCAGAGCTTTGTGGGGAGGGACGGGTGAGTGCCCTGCATGTGTACCGTGCTGCTACAGTCGGCTCCCCCAGGACATCGGGGCCTGAGACTTCATGTCTTCATTTCTCTGATTTTCAAACTTCTTATGGGAAGCTTCTCACTGTCCGGAAATGGAATTATGACACCGTCAAAGCCCGTGGGGCCCGTCACACCACCTGGAGTTACTTCTGTATTTCTCGCTAAAGCAGGGAGTTTCCCAGCGCCCACCTGCGTGATTTTCATGCTGGGGGCACCTCATTCCCAGGCAGGGCTGGCTGCTGCCAGCGCCTTGAGCCTCCTTCTTCCCCCCCGTGTCTGTGGGAGTCTGTGGAACCTACACAAAGTGCCTGTTGTGGTGGTGTGTGTCCGAGGCCCCTCCCATGCGGTGCCCCCTCTGTCCTTGCTGTGGGTCGGGAGCCAGCTCCCTGCTGTCAGACCTGCACTGGGGCCTTGTGGGTGTGTCCAGGCATCTGCAGGTGGCCCCCCCATCTATTTCTCTGCACAACCACAGCCGCACTGAGGCCCGTCCAGATCCAGGCCGGTCAGCCTAGGGGTGGGAACGCAGCTCAACGGGGCTGTGGGCGTGTGGACGGTGGCAGGCTCAGGTGGCGTGACCTAGGGCCAGGATCCGTGGAGGTAAAACATGGCCCCCGCCCCTCCCGCCACCTTGGCCACGTGGACGGCCACCTTCTCAGGCTGCTCCACAGGGTCCCTTTTCCAGGGAAGACAGGAGATGCTCTGGGCCTTCCCTTTCCCTGACAGTGGCATCATGGCTCACCACGGGTTCAGGCGTTAGCTGCTATTGACTGTGAACCCGTGGATTGAGGTATTGTGGTTTTCAGGGGCATGTTCACAG